GGAGTTATTACTTAAAAACCATTTAATATTTTTTAATTTCGGAAATTGATCTAGTGATTGGATTTCGATGTATCTTATACCATTAGATTCGTCTCATCAAGACGAATCGAATGGTAGTAAGATCGTCTTTCTAGGATCAATATTGGCAGAGTTATTACACAAAAACCATTAATATTTTTTTAATTTCGGAAATTAATCTAGTGATTGGATTTCGATGTATTTTATACCATTAGAACCGTCTCATCAAGACGAATCGAATGGTGGTAAGATCATCTCTCTACGATTAATATTGACGGAGTTACGATACAATAAAGTTTTGAGTATAATTTTAGCCAAAATTATGTTAATTTTTGGCCGGAATTATGATATACTAATATAAGAAATTTTTTATATAGTCACATCTCTTTATAATCACCAAATATGGACTGTCCCAAATGTGTGACTATAAAGAGAGTTGACTGTAACCACTAAATAATAATACAATTATCTATTAATAAATAAAATTTATGAAATAAAAATAAAATAAGAAGTTATTTTTACCTTTGGTGCTTTTAACATTTCTAAAACATTTACTCCAGTTGACTGAGTTTCTTGCTGTATAGAATGAACATTTTTTAAATGTTTTGTTATATTCGTAGTACTACCCCCAGAACATATATAAGTTTTGCTGCAATAAGTACAGGTAGCTCTTTTATTATATTTAAAATTTTCATCTTTTTCGAAATGGCTCCATACAAAACTGCCTTGATTATTTTGAGCATTTTCTAACGATTCTAAATTACTTAATCTTCTTGCTGGTGTTGCCGGTAGGGACGCATCAATTTCATCCTCAGAATTATGACAACTTCCTTCATTGTTGTCTTCTGCGTCCATAGTTAGTTTACAAAAAAAATAAACCGAAAATCTTTAAAAAAAATTTTTTGGTGCTACATATGTTGGTTGATAAACATCATGATTATCAACTTAGTGTTCCAAATGGATCAAATCGGATGAATCTGATTTTGACTCGAATCCATTATTTAAAAAATGTTACATAACGTTTTTTATTTCAATTTAACGAATAAAAAACCATTTCACAACGGTTTTTTAATTATTTTAATAAAAAATGTTGCAAAACATTTTTTATTTCAATTTAATGAAGAAAAAACCATTTCGCAACAGTTTTTTAATCATTTTAATAAAAAATGTTGTAAAACGTTTTTTATTCCAATTCAATAAAAAAAACCGTTTCGCAACAGTTTTTTAATTATTATAAATTATTATAATAAAAAATGTTGCGAAACATTTTTTATATCAAGTTAATAAAAAAAACTATTTCGCAACAGTTTTTTAATTATTTTAATAAAAAATGTTGTGAAATGTTTTTTATTCCAATTTAACGAATAAAAAAAACCATTTTGTAACGGGTTTTAATATTTTAATAAAAAAATATTTGCGAAATGTTTTTTATTCAATTTAATGAAAAAAAACTGTTTCACAATGGTTTTTTAATTATTTTAATAAAAAATGTTGTAAAACATTTTTTATTTCAATTTTTAATGAAAAAAAACCGTTTCGCAACGGTTTTTTAATCATTTTAATAAAAAATGTTGCAAAACGTTTTTTATTTCAATTTTTAACGAAAAAAAACCGGTTCACAACAGTTTTTAATTATTTAATAAAAAAACGTTGCAAAACATTTTTTTATTTCAATTTAATGAAAAAAAACTGTTTTGCAACGGTTTTTTAATTATTTTAATAAAGAATGTTGTGAAACGTTTTTTATTTCAATTTTTAATAAAAAAAACCCATTTCACAACGGTTTTTTAATATTTTAATAAAAAAATGTTCGTGAAACGTTTTTTATTTCAATTTAATGAAAAAAAAAGCATTTCGCAATGGTTTTTTAATATTTTAATAAAAACATTTGCGAAATATTTTTTTATTCTATTTAATGAAAAAAAAACTATTTCGCAATGGTTTTTTAATTATTTTAATAAAAAATGTTGCAAAACATTTTTTTTATTTCAATTTAATGAAAAAAACCATTTCACAACAGTTTTTAATCATTTTAATAAAAAAACGTTGCGAACCATTTTTTTATTTCAATTTAATGAAAAAAAACGTTTCGCATCAGTTTTTAATCATTTTAATAAAAAAA